TGGTTAATTGTAACATAATACTTACTATTTACATGTGAAATATCTAATAGTTTGTGAAGAGAATTAGACTTGAACACCATGTCCAGAATTAAAATAAAATGTTAGTCATACCATATAGAGGAAAATTGACATCGTTCTGAGTTTAAGATACTTAATACTTTTGAAAATTTCTGGTCTTTCGTTCAGTAGTAAAACCTTATCAAGTTCTGAAGGTATATAGAAGGCAGCGAGTACAGACTGATAAAATGACCTATGTGAAGTACAAAATGATTCAAGATTAACAGTACATTTAAGTAATTATGCTCCATTTCTATTTTTTTTTAAGTCGAATCAGCTTCAAATCAGTCTTAGAAATTCGCGTCCTTCAAAGCTGGCTTGCCAGATTAACAGAATTGGGGCGTACTAAAATGCCAATTATTTTCATATGAATTGTAAAATCATTTACTAACAAATGTGCCGTAGTTTCTGTTATTAACATCCTACATGATTTTTTTTCAAAAGTCAATGTAAATCTCGAAGTTTACAAATGGATAGATAATCGAAAAATAAAAAAAGGAATATCTAACGGTTAGTTCGTATTAATCTACTTCATTAGTGTGGTGTGTAATGCAGATACGATACTACACTTTCTGACATGCTAATTTTAGATGAGCTTGGAACAAGGCGTTTTTTGTTCAGGTTTCATCAAGATAACCATGTGAAGGTTATTTAATCCTTAAAATGGAGATTAGTGACAACTTAATCTTTTAAATAGATTTGTTTGAGTTCATTCACTTTCACAAGTGGTCTAAGTTGTTTACCTTTCACTCGTAGAAGTATCAGATTATTACGCGAATCGTTGACCCCTTAACACCCCATTGTTGTCATAATCCGCGTTTTAATTTGAATTGATCAAGCGTCATTTCTATTCCAATGCATTTTCAAGAACTTCGGTAATTCGGATTGAACTCATGTTGTTTATTTTCTTAATCACTCTGAAATTTTTCTTATAGAATTATACTCCTCAAATATGAATTAAATCACACAGTAGCAATTTAATCGAATTCACCCACCGGTAGTATTCAATATGGTCCATTCTTTGCCAAATTGCATCACGTTGAGGCGTTGTTTCCAAATTTACCGCTTCATTTTAAAAATGACAATAGTTAAAGTGGTCTAATTTCGTGGGAGGTCGACACACATCTTCAGAACCCCAATTGAGCTGAAATACAGCAATAAAACAATCCTCAGTGAATGCAAGTTATCAGGTTTTCCCATGATCCGATTTGATGAAATGCATTCACAAGTTTATCTGCACAACACTTCAGTTACGCAACCCCGCAAAGTCCCCCATTGCCTAAAAACTACACGATCACCGTGTCAAATTAAATCATTTGTAGAAGATATCTAATGGGTTGGTTTGATTTGTCTCATACATCAATTCATAATAAAAAGACATTGAATACCCGAGGCAAAAATTTGAAATGCTGTCAAGAGATGAGCTTAAATTTGGCGTTGTAAGAACTGAGCTTTCGATGAAAAAATCCACTGACTTGCGAATGGGTTACAAACGGTGGTGGTCTGGAAGAGGTTCAAGAAGATTATCAATACTACCATCAATGTTTTGGGAATAAACATGATCGGTAGTATAAGATTCCTACTCGATTCTTTTCATTAATGAACGCGCGTGCTCGCTAACCTGATGGTCCAGGGTTCAATTCCGGCATAGGTCGAGATAATACCTTCGGATTTTTCAATCCGGTTTCCCCTATCAGTGAAAAAAAGAGCAGGCTAATGCCATTGTCCTGAAAAAAATTCCCTTATTACACCCTGCATGGCGTTGCCCATCTTCATTAGCCAACACGATGCGGAAACAGGACGTAAAACTCATTCATTTGATTTCATTAAAGAACTCAACAAAATATGCATGCGGATTACGCCACAACACACAACTGATTAAGTTTATCAAAACAGCATTTATATAAAGTTTAGGTGTCAATCTATTTCTGGACGTGTTAGAAATTAGTATGCATGTCTGTTTTATTATCATTTTATCATTAAACATCTAATACGAAAGAATGTTGTGAAGGCAGTAGTAAACATTCAAAATACTGTACCTTTGTTAGATGTTCTGTTACCACCTTCACCAAAACGGAAGCAATTGAGTACTATCTTATTGGCGATTCACTAAAATCGATTTAAAATTTAGTTTACTGGAAATCCAGGTTGAGCAGAGTTTTTTTTATTGGTCTTTACGGTACTGTCTCGACAAATGCTTGTAAGGTTGATAGCAGACACCAGTTTCCTTGTTAACCACTCTCGCATATTTCGGAAGTATGAAAACATGAAAGGTGCTGATTTCTATTAAACATGACATATTTATCGGTTCACATTTAACATCGCCCTGATAATTTCGAGTTGTAAATATTAAACATAGGTGCAGGGTAAAAAGGGCTAAATCAGTGCGTTTTCTATTCAATTTTGGAGTTAATAAAACTTCTTGCTTTGGTTATAATGAATGTCTGTACATAACAGTCTGGCTATTCGAGAACAGAAATATAATCGTGTTCTTGTAATTTAATCAAAGACTCAACATGATATGATAAATTAATTCGCCATAGGATCGACTTCATCAAAGCACAACGAAAAAGATATTTTCTACTGTCGAAAGATATATTATCGGACATCTTGGTAGACAGTTTACTGCTAATTGCCTATTACTGATTGAAGTTTTCAAAATCCCATAGTAATTATACCATTGCTATGAACATTACTTTGACAATGAAGATCTGTGTCGCCTTGTACTGCAAGTATTTCTGATATAACATGAGTATTGTCAAACCGGTATTAATAAAAAAAAATTGCAAGTGGAGATAACCATGCTTGTTCCTCCTCAAAAACTTTTGACGAGATTTTGATTAACAGAATTGTATGGTTTCAGAGTATTTCATATATATAAAACTGTAGAAGCAAAAGTATGGCAAAATCAAGAGTAAAAAAGTTTAGTTCATCAACAAGAGTTTTTACAACTTTACGCTGGTGTTTCTAATTTCCATTTTCATTGGTGTTCAGTAACCTTGGCGAAACTGTGCTAATTACGCTAAAACTAGAAGTTTGGATCCCCTACCGTTACGCTCCGACGTCTTGAATAGGAGAAAGAATTGTAATCGGATAACAATTAATAGGGATTACTTAAAATTAGCAAGGAATTTCTTTAATTAGGGAATAATATACGTTTTCGTAGCAAATTAGGAAATATTAAGGAAGTATTTTAAGACACAGGCAACTAATATTAAGAAGATTAGGGTGAATTTACAAAAAAGAAGTCATTATTTCGACTGTATATTTCAAACGATAATAAGAGCTCGAAGAATCAATATTCACTTTTCATATTTCCAATAAATAATTGTGATTGAATTTTGGTTCAATTTACTGAACAACAAACAAGCACATTCATTTTTCGACGAAGAACATTTCACAAAATATAGTTTCAAACTGCTTAATTACAATTTTCTCTTATTTTGATCAAATTAATGTAAGAATGGTTAATTAAATAATTAACAAAATAAGAGTCCGAGTACGTTCACTGTAAATTTAAAATAATTCAAGTATTTGATTGTACAATGTAATTCGTGGTGTAATATTCTATATGAACCTAACGATATAGTGCTTGTTAGTCTCGCACATATGCTTCTACACATTTATAAAACAAACACAGAAAACTGTATTCACGTTTAATTTTCTCAGAAATGTCATATTGTGGTTAAAATCTAAGTGCTTTTCCGGGTTTTCATCAAATATTATAGACTAGGAAATCCTGTTGATGAGACATTACAATAACTTACTTGACACAGACAGGAGCTATTCATCTTAAAGGCAATTTATTCCATAATATGTGCTCCTCGCTTTTATATGTCGTTCAAATCGTACAATTTATCAAAGTCCAATTCAGAATTAAGAATGCAACGCCAGCCATGGCGGTCTTAATTACGATTATCTTTAAATCAACGTAAGCAGTGGTGGAGGAAAGGTTAAATATTAGTTATTTTTCTTGCCAAATTTCTGAAATATTGCCAAATTTATGAAATATTTCTTTTCAAGTGATCAAACTTAAGGGTAATAATTATTGAGGTATGTCCAATATAAGGATTTGGATGAAATAGACAGGAATGATCGGGTTTTGTGATTATAGCTTTGGTTATAGTGCAGAATTATCTCAGAAATTAAAGTCAAATTACTTTTATTCGGTTGCTGGTAAAAATTTATCAACACACTCAATTGGGTTAATCAAAAGGAATAATGCTTTGCAATCGTAAAATGTAAAAATCCATGTCATTTCTTGCCATCGTGACAAATGCTTTCGACAATGGAAACAATATGAATATGCCAACAGACTGTGGCTAGTATTATTATAGAAAACATCAACTTTTCACTTCATTACACAAATTTTTAATTCAACTTTCAGAACAAAAGTAGCCGTCGTCTGCCTTGGATAATCCCGGTTATCAAGACACAATAGATCATAGAAATTTATGGCTGATCTTCTTATAGTCAACTGCTCAATGAACCATAACAATATCTCGTTTGATAACTTGATAACTAAGTCTATGATTAACAGTGAGTCGAACGCCTTCTGTGATTCGCTAAAGACGGGAAGAACGGCGCGAGTTTGATCTAGTAAATATTGTGCTATGTACGATAGAGTGTAGATTGTATTTGGCTGTCGTGTATGTACACACAGTGTTTTTAGACATCCTCTTATTTTCCTTTATACAAGTACTTTTTACTTGATAAAAGTCAATTGTTGTTAATTGAAAGACTGTTGTGGTTAATGAAAAAATAAGGAGTACCTTTACATATAATAAGTGCCTATTGATTTTTTTAATTCTTAAAGTGGATTTTTATAACGTTTAGTGAATTTTTTTATTCGCTTGGTGTGTTTTTGTGATTTGAAATAATTGGAAAACATAGTGGTTCAAATATATATAGATTTCTTGGATTAAAATTAACTAAGTGCAAACATGAGGCCTTGTGGAATACTCAGTGGATTTTTATTAGTACTTTTATGTGTATATTTTGTGTGCGCCGCTACCAAAGATGAAGCGCCACCCAAAAAGAAACGAAGGGGATGTCGTTGTTTGAAAAAATACATGAATGAAGTGAATTCTATAGTGGAACAAAAGCTGAAAAAGTTCGAGGAAAAGTATTTTATTTCCGCATTACCAGGGGCGCCGACTGGTTCCGAAAGAATCATGTCCATGGCTGACCGACGTTTTGTGAAATTAACAGCGGATGTACAGGAATCAAAAGATGCCTTGGTCAAACTTAATTTAAGTCTTCGAAATATGAAAGATCAAATGAAAAGCCAAAAGCGTGACGTAATGGATTTGACAAGTAACTTGGATCAATTGGAAGGAATAGTGACGAATTTGACAAGTGTGGTACACAGGATTGAAGTGATGCAGCCAGGCAGTGGTGACAGTTTGGGTCAATCATCAGACGTAGATTTGTCAACAAGACCTCCAGGATATCCTAAAGGTAAGAAGACTTGAACTATGTAATGGGTATGATGTATTAAGTCCACAGCAGTCCCTGCCTTATACATGTATTTCAAAACACAACAACAATTCTTAGATGCTCAGGTAGTTGTCATTATCGGCATAAGAAGGCACACGAGTTGCAAGAACACCATGCACCATTGAGTACAACCAATTTCTTTATATCTATATTCTATATTATTCTCAGTTACATTTGGTAAGGTAAGAAATTAGAGAGGGAATGCGTATATTTCATTGACATTGATAACATGATCGTGTGTTTTATCACTCTTAATTTCAAATTTTGACGGATCAAACACCACACAAATTTTGAATTCAAAGCATATAGTTACAGACCTGCTATCGTAACATCGTGTCGAAATCAAAGAGAAATTGAAACAGACCAACACTGTATTAATTTACCTACACGAGTTATAACATCCTTAGGGTACACATATTGTTACAATATTGTATGATATCTCCCTCAGGGACCGACTGCAAAAACTCAAGTCGACCTCAAATGTGTTGCCACAAAGAAAGAAACGATAGTATCAAATGTACTCCCTGCGTGATGCCAGTAACTTGGTACTGAGCTTTTACATAAAGCAGTGAATAATTGGCATTCAATAACGTATCATGATATTAAAGAAGATAAGGTTGTGATATTAAGATACGAAAATGCCCATTACTAAACGTATTTATAGCGTCCACATTGTCCATGAATCAATACTTGACCCGACATAGCTCTTTATTGGCATCATCTCTTACATTGATTCCTAATGGATCAATTGCATATATCTACATTTCAACATTCATAATATTTTTTCTGATCGGAGCAATACATACAAAAAAATCAAAAAACAACACGACCTTAAGCTCTTTCCGATACATCACACTGCATTACAAAGCAATCATATTGAACCAATTAATTATGTTGCAAACATACTAGATCTGAAAAGTGACAAGTGTCTATATTACAACGTAAAGAGTAAAACGCCTTAATATTTATGACATTATTGAGAGGAAGTTCAATATGACATTGCGTTGTGTCAAAATTCTTTTTTTTTGCAATATAAGCATTATACGTGATATAAATTCACGAATAAACATATCATATAAAATTTTATCGTAAAAAATAATGAACACACATTGTAAATGAAAATATTATCAAACTATGCTACATGCATGTCTACGTGTATAAATTGCAATGATAATATATATAAAAGGTGTGTATGTTGAAAGTTACAAGATAAAATCTTCTTCAACACAGACTGCTACATTCTCCTCGCATCTAGAATGGTCTCATTCTTTTAGTTTATAGAATCTTAACTGACACAATACAAAATGAATTGGATGGTAGCCATACCAAACACTGGGTGTTAAACTGTAAATCTGTTGAGGTATTTAGTACTAATAATAACTATTACCGAGGTACCTACAACATTTTACCCTGACATCTCAAATGATGTCGGTTTAGCAAACTTATCCCATGCGTGAAATTGTGGTTGGTTAATCAGCAAAATCGAAGTACGATGATGATGGATACTTGAAATTGATCATTTCGGTAAAATAATTTAGAGAGCTGATCTGTTCAAGTGTCGAAATTGTTACTTTTACTGCGATACTGTCAGCGTATGATTTTTTTTTAAATCAAGAGCAATGGTCGGTGCTGTGTTCTTATTATGTGAAGATAATTTGTTAACATATAGCAAGATAGCGTTATTTATTTTTTAGGAAAACTTTTTTCTGATTTCTCCATAATGGCGTTCAGAAATCTAACTTCTTTTAATGATATCACAACTTTAGCCTTTGATAAAAACATATCAAACAAATTAATTGCTCAATTGGACACATTTCCACAAGTTAAGTCCTTTTTAATAGGATGTCATGGAAACAATTGAAAAACTTAATTGCCGTGTAATTTTACTCTTGAAGATGCAATCCATTGTAAAATAGCTAGAATATCGTCAATAACGCCCAGGGGAAGGTTAGAATGAAGTGTCGTAAATCTGACATAACGTCAATACGTCTATAGCCAATCACTACACACTTTATGGTCGTAATAAAGTCGTAACTGTTTCCAGATGATTGTTGTCCTTTGTGACATATTTGATTGTTTTACGATGGTTCATTTTTGATATTATAATTGATTCATTGTAAACCATCTTGAAATGATATGTAATTTAATTCATTTAAAAAAATCATTCCATGCTTAAGAAATACAATCAACGAAATGTTAAAATTTGTGTTGACTTTAATTTATTTACAAAACGATCCTGTTTCATGAGGGTATCTTCTATTAAGATCCAAACACTTGATTACATGCCGCCCTATAGAATCTAAATTTCTGCTAAGAAACTAAAGATTTTACTTACTATGCGAATACCATAGTGATATGATCTTAATAGGTATTGTTCTGACATGGGAGGCCAAACATTGCTCTATCCGACAGAAAGATAGCACATTGTATGTACACTAACAGAAACTGTTGATTTTTCAAGATATGATACTTTGTCCACGATACAATGTCAACAGAGTTCTTTATACAATGGAAAAAAGAATACTCGGGTACAAACAAACACAAACATATCGTGTAGGTCCAGATAAACTAAACGGGTCATTTAAGAAATTGTGAAAGAGATAAACCTACGTGAGAAACCTTCGTCCAAATTTACCTGGTGGCGATCAAGTAAAAGCTGAGATTTCACAGATAGCCACTGCAAACTAACTTTGAATTTAGTTTTATCATCTAAATGGTTTGGTGATTTTAGAATACTTCCGCATATGCAAACCAACTGCCATCAAACTAAGACAATTACTTGTATATTTTACCCCTGGAAATACACACTTAGAGTTTTAAGAGATCTTCAATGTACAAAGAACACCTATTCTGGACGAGTTGACCAAACTGTCTATTCTATCTGTCTTGCTAGCTCTGAACTTCATGAGAAAATTGCACCACATCACCCGGACAGAGTCCCATGATAAAAAAGAAACATATTTTAATAGTGTAATGGTGTCTATTGCCCCCTATGGTATTTTTCTTATGTCTAGGGAAGTTAACTTTCTAGAAACAAATTAACTGGTATTACCAACAAGGAAAATATTTAGAAAAGGAAAAACCAAGTATCAACTTGATATTCACTTCTTTAATGTTCGTATATGAAGAAAATATCGTGTAACACCTAGCTTAAGTATCGTGGGTTATTTTAAGGTATCAAATGGATTAAAATATGAGAAAATGGCTTAGTTACACTCACGGCACTTCCCCTGAAAATCTGACGAATTCTTTTGATGCCTGACTGAAGTGTGAAGTGTATGTACTTGTTTGATAATTGTTTATTCCAAAACAACACGGGTTACAAAACTTCAAAGGGCATATCGGACGAAATCAAAGTCGACAATTTTGGCAAGCAAGTTCGACAGAAATTATTATTCAAGAATAACGTCAACAAAAATGTCCACGTGTTGCTTTGAACAGCTTGTGGCAAAATATTGTTGTATATCTTAAATTTCTAGACGAATTCTTCCCTGTCTGAGAGTGTAAAAGAAGAAGGTAGTACTGTACGAGAAGTGAGTTTCGGCAATCAAATATTAGACGCTGTTCTTGGTAAAGTTTCAGTTTACCTCGGGTTATAATATAACACAAAGGATGATTCATTTTGTAATATGTAATATTCATTCATGTATATCTTTGGAGTACTGGAAACATGGTAAGGGACATGGTAATAAGTACTAATGCGGGCATGTAGCACACGATGTCACTGTGCAATTTGGTTTGTCATCTTGGCACCGTTATCCGAGAGTTAATAGCTAAGTTGTTTTTTTTAACACCTGGCTTTGTCAAACTATAAAGTGTTCGGAAATGCTCGAGATTGCCAGTGGGCTAGGTTGATAGATAATATAAGACCATTTAAGCGTTTTGTAATGTACACATTTTCTCCAAGCCAACCATCTCCATCCCCAAATGAATATATCTGTTTAATTGAAAATATTATGTATAAAATAGCTCATCATCGTACTAATTTCTTGTATGTGAAGCGAGATTAAGATTCATTTTTAATTCATTGAAGTACAGTATTGGTTTGGTAAGTTAATAGTTTTTTCAGTGTACAATTGAAATATTTCGAATAATGATATTAATTTATTTATAGACGGTAATACAAAGATTGGACAATATTTCGTGGATAAGGGGTATTCAAATATAAGTATCTTATAACACAATTGTGTTCGGATTAAAATAATGAAAATAGAATAGCAAATAAGATTACATTTGTAATCCATTGAGTATATTTGCCTTCACTACGAATTTAAAGAATGTGAAAATCGAGCATATGTAGCCCGAGCATCACTGAAATTGTGTGTTTTTTACTGAAGACTTTGTTCGTAAGTTTAAAACTATTGAAATTTCAATGGTCGGGTACAAAATACCTTTACTGGATTCAAGTCGAAGTCTGACAAGTACACATAACTGTTTGTCTTTTTGGTGCATTTTGCATACATTTTTCACAAATTAAGATATCACACTAGCCGAAATAATAATTCAATTATATCCCAAGGCAAAGTACTACTTAGATGTTATCACGTTGAAAACAATAATGGTAATCATAGCCATTCATATCTGGTCAATTTCCCAAAGCCCCATTTCCTACCCATACTCCTTAATGGCCATTTAATTGAATCACACGGCCATGGTTGATTGAAGATCTATCTTGATCGAGTGGTTGAAACCGTGTTGTAGATCATCAGGCTTAAATATAAGTCTAACTATCTGTTCACTCATCTTGAAAATTGATGCACATCCTTAAAATATAATCCATGTTAGTGCTTGATGGACCTTGCACATGATTAATGAATGATTACATTGTACTCTATGACTCTTGGAAATTTAGACCAAAGTCTTGAATTAATTTAGAAAATTGCTATGAGATGGATATTTGAAAGAAATAAGAAGCATTGGAGCTCATGATTAACCGTTATGCATTTGGGTTCCTGGAAGTTGATTGTGGATTTTTACTTCATAGTATCAAATGACACTAATAGCATCAATGCTACGGATCATCAAAATACCAAAATTAAAGATATGTCGTTCTTGGCAGTTTGAATTTGCTTTGAAGAAACTTTGATAGCTTGTCCATTATCTACATAGGCCCTTTACACTAACTACGGGATATGCCTCAGTTGGGAATCGAAAAAGTGTAGGCTAATGCTACTTTCCTGGCATGATTATATACAGTATGAAATACTGTTGTCGGTCTTTTTTCATGAGCCACAGAATCTGAACTACGGAGATAAAACCGAACATTAGTTTGTCCACACCGGATGACTTTCAATGTCAACACTCAAATGTGTTGAATGAAACGAAATCCTTATGAATGAAGAAAACTGTTTGATTTAATTTTGTTGAAGATGAAAAGACCACCATGAATATCAAGTCATGTAAGCAAACAACAATGTTGTGTCATGGGTTTGCATCTTTATTCAGGATAAGTAACATGTAAACCAACTCGACAAATTAATTTAGGTGTTAACTTTGAAATACTGTACCTTTTAATGTTTCAATGGAAAGGATGCGCTTAAAGTTTGTTTTGTGTCTTTTCTCTTGAAACATTGTAAGTTTCATTTGCATTTGAGAAGACGCGTTAAAAGTCGAAGTAATCAGATAAGGATTTCCTTCACTATTTCAAGGTGTATGCATAGACATAACGAGTTTTTGCCAGTACAGTTGTTTGTCCTTGATAAGGGCGTTCACTACTGGTTGGTTTTTATCTCCTGTTTGTTGGATGAGAGTTCATAACCTTAAAGTTAAAGCATGCAATGCTTAACATTTGCAATGACAAAAGCATGTCAAAATGCAGATATTAGATAAAGGCATATTATGATAGAGATTAAGATAGGATAAGAACGACAAATCTTTGATAGCGAGATCGTCGTCTTTTTGCAATGAGGAAGTAGACCAGATTAGATTTCAGTAGGACCTTCCTTGTGACACCTTTCAATGTATACCATGTGTTGTTTGCCGTAGCATAAAGTCCGGGAATCAATGTCAGAAGGGCAAAACTCCAGGTCCACCCTGCCTTTTATAATGAAAGAGCAACCTGCAGGAAATGCACACACCCGTGTTAATGTCGTATGAGGATTACCAAGGATTACTGTCTAGGGATGGAATCTTTCCTTTTGCTTCTTGGTTGACAACGGAATAAAATTTGAGATATAATGGTGCTTTCTTTTTATCTCTAAAAGATTGCTTTTGCACCGTTATAATCATGCTAGCAATCTAATCGTTGTACGGTGTTAAGACCTAAAGACAAATTCATGCGATTGTTCTCCAGTGGCGACAAACTATTGGTGCTCAACCTCCAAAATACACCAAATAATCAAATAACTCTACCAAATTTTTGATGTACCCTCTAAGAATCCCCAAATAGCACCAATTCCATTCATAAATATTATACAAGGAGCATGATCTCTAGCGATGTGCGATTATGTTTGTTTATTATGGTTTGATGCTCTTGAGAATTTCCTCGCCCTGGTGTGAAAATAACTGACATCTGAAACTGTATCGCCAACTACACTAGATATAAATGTCATCTGCGAATTTGTCAACAAAGATTACTATTTCCAAACATGACCTTGAAATCAAAGGTCACCTAGCTTGTTACTCAATGTGTATTTAATAGGGCTTGTTTTTACCAAAGTTGAAACTCGGACAACTAACTTAAATACGTGATGATTAACCTGCCAAGGGGTGTTGCAGCGTTAAAACTAACACAAGTAACCTCATAATCTCTAAACGAGTTCTGCCATACCGTGGGAAGAATATGCCCTCAGTCAAATTTTTATTGATGTAGAATAGTGAAGGGGCGGTGGTTTATTGGATGCCACAGCAGTGTCTGACATCCCGGGCATCATGGAAACTGGAAGGGAGTTACCTACTGCTAATTCACTGCCAATTTGCGCCCCATCTATTAACCCAATCGGGGAAATAAAAGTACGGCATACAACACTACATTTCATTCTTAATAATTCAACACGTGAAACTTACGGTATTCAAGAAATCACATAAACTTGTTGGGAAGAAATTTGTCTCTCCACCTTCACGTCTTAATCAGTTTATTGAATTTCTATCGGAATCCTTTCAACCATTTAAACTTATTTTAATCGACCACTATCTTAATTGATCTTTTTATCGATTTATTGCTTGAGTAGCTGTTCACACCGATCTATGAATTGGGTTAAAAAAAAATTCTTTGTTTTGTTCTGCATGTTCAAAAATCATCAGGGCAGAATAAGAAAGCACGAAAGAGCATGATCACGTGTTTTGCGTTTATCAGTCCCAAAACATTTTAAAAAGATAGGCTTCCATGTCATTTTCATTGTATTAGTTTGATTGTGTGTTTATGCCAGTCAGAAAATAATGTTATGGATCCCGATAGGTTTGTTACATAGGACATTTTACTACCTCTACCGATGTTGCTGGAGTAGCGGAAGCTTTCGGGCCAGCTTTTTCCTATAACATGCCTTTTGAATCCGTGCATCCTAAATAGACACATTTTTCCTTTGAAAAAATAGAAAACATTTAAGTTTATTCTCTTTCCTAATTATTCCTTTAAGAAGTATTAAGGTATCCTTAATAGGATTATGTTTCGTCAAACGGAAAAGACACATTGATTAGGACTAATGTTAAGATCAAGGCGAAATTTAGAAGTAAATGTCCCACAGTATTTCAATCACTTCTTTAAGTAATTTCAGACCTGTCAAAGTATATTAAGAGATTTTCCACATTAGGGTGGCATTTTTCTGAAGAAATCGATTTGAAAGATTTTCATTCTTTTAGAATTTAGATATTATTTTAATCATATGTTTTTGTCATAAATAGCACCATAAAGATAGCTTTCAAGGATATCAGAGATAAGACCAATTACATAGGAAATAAAGAATGAAAAGGACTTTATAAATGAATTTGGTTATTGAGTAGACGCTGTTACAAGTCTGCTCTCACTGCGGTAGGTTAAGATAGGTAGTTCTTGATTCTGACTTTGGTAAGTTTCGAAATGCAGCTCTTCTAATCTAAAACAAAATTATGAAGGAGTATCGAATTCGAAACACAGGAACAAATGCCCACTGAAGTCCACTGAACGGTAGGTATCTGCAGACGAAGACAAAATGTTCTTAGCAGTCTCATCATAAAGATAAATTGTGGTAAAATATATTTAAAATCTCAGTTGGAACTCTGATAGTAACTTCTTCAATCTCCGCCGACACCTGCCAAATTTATTTCCCGTTATTGATAAAAATTGGCCTACAGATTAATATATTTTTAAAATTTTCATGATTTTTCATAAAGATTCTATATCAACATAGTTTGTTGTTCAACCTGTTTAGTACGGAAATGCATTTACGTTTTTTTTACAAAAATAAAATGTTAAAACATGCACGTTACACTTTTCTAATCACAGACTTTTTAGATATAGGGACAAGATTTTGGCATGCAATAATAAGAAATGAATTAAAGTTTTACATCCTTTTTCCTGCTCCAAACTTCAGTTTACCTTAATCAGGATTACGAATTAATTTGGAGCTGTTGATATAAGCTATTCATATAATCTGATGGTATCTGCTCTAGATCATGGAGTGAA